GGATATGGAATACATACTCAAATGGCTTGCCATAGTCTGTCCGTCTGACCGTCTGTCCGTCTGACTGTCTGTCTGTGTTAACGTGCCCCTCTCTCTGTCTCTCAGGAGAAGAGGATCTCCAGCCTGGACGCAGCTAACTCTCGTCTGATGGCGGCGCTGACGCAGCTGAAGGAGCGTTACGCGGTGACATCACAGAGGAACGGCCTGTCTCCTAGCAACACGTCGTCTCTGCAGATCACCGAGAACGGAGAGTTCCGGAACTCCGGAAACTGCTGAGCTGCGCTCTGATTGGCTCTGACTGCAGGCAGGGGGCGGGACCTACCCATTGACCCGTCAATCAACTGACTTTTAACCTGGCCCCGCCCCCGTCGCTAGGTTACCCCCCACTTTCTGTTTTTTGGTTTTGCATGTTTCCCTTTTGAACATCTTAGAAATTCTGACATCATATCCTGTTTCCTTTTGCCACTTCCTGTGAAGAGCCAGAACAACCAACCAAACTGCACGTCAACCCCACCTGTACATGGCTCTGTTGGAGAACCCACCTGTACATGGCTCTGTTGGAGAACCCACCTGTACATGGCTCTGGTTTTGGAGAACCCACCTGTACATGGCTCTGGTTTTGGAGAACCCACCTGTACATGGCTCTGTTGGAGAACCCACCTGTACATGGCTCTGTTGGAGAACCCACCTGTACATGGCTCTGGTTTTGGAGAACCCACCTGTACATGGCTCTGGTTTTGGAGAACCCACCTGTACATGGCTCTGGTTTTGGAGAACCCACCTGTACATGGCTCTGTTGGAGAACCCACCTGTACATGGCTCTGTTGGAGAACCCACCTGTACATGGCTCTGTTGGAGAACCCACCTGTACATGGCTCTGTTGGAGAACCCACCTGTACATGGCTCTGTTGGAGAACCCACCTGTACATGGCTCTGGTTTTGGAGAACCCACCTGTACATGGCTCTGGTTTTGGAGAACCCACCTGTACATGGCTCTGTTGGAGAACCCACCTGTACATGGCTCTGTTGGAGAACCCACCTGTACATGGCTCTGTTGGAGAACCCACCTGTACATGGCTCTGTTGGAGAACCCACCTGTACATGGCTCTGTTGGAGAACCCACCTGTACATGGCTCTGGTTTTGGAGAACCCACCTGTACATGGCTCTGGTTTTGGAGAACCCACCTGTACATGGCTCTGTTGGAGAACCCACCTGTACATGGCTCTGGTTTTGGAGAACCCACCTGTACATGGCTCTGGTTTTGGAGAACCCACCTGTACATGGCTCTGGTTTTGGAGAACCCACCTGTACATGGCTCTGTTGGAGAACCCACCTGTACATGGCTCTGGTTTTGGAGAACCCACCTGTACATGGCTCTGTTGGAGAACCCACCTGTACATGGCTCTGTTGGAGAACCCACCTGTACATGGCTCTGGTTTTGGAGAACCCACCTGTACATGGCTCTGGTTTTGGAGAACCCACCTGTACATGGCTCTGTTGGAGAACCCACCTGTACATGGCTCTGGTTTTGGAGAACCCACCTGTACATGGCTCTGTTGGAGAACCCACCTGTACATGGCTCTGGTTTTGGAGAACCCACCTGTACATGGCTCTGGTTTTGGAGAACCCACCTGTACATGGCTCTGGTTTTGGAGAACGCACCTGCTCTGTAGCTTCGGTCCACCTGTGGTAACTGTCTGTAAACGGCTCTGTATTTAAATAGCGACACATCGACAGTTTGAATATATTCATATTTTCTATGATTAGATTTTGTCTAGAGGAACAGTCTGATACCCGGTCAGGGCCAGGTTAGCCTAGTTTAGCACAAAGACTGGAAGCAGGGGGGAAGCTGTTAGCCTGTTAGCCTAGCTTAAAGTGAGGGCAGCTCTGGGCTTCCATTGGTCAGTTTGTGTTTCAGAGAATGTACTGATGTAAACATAAGATTGTATTGTAAAACAGTAAAATCTTTAAATTGTGATTAATAGTTTGTGAACACACATCTCTACTGGTCTCTCCTACTCTCTACTGGTCTCTCCTGCTCTCTAATGGTCTCTACTGCTCTCTGCTGCTCTCTAATGGTCTCTACTGGTCTCTACTGCTCTCTAATGGTCTCTACTGCTCTCTGCTGGTCTCTCCTGCTCTCTACTGGTCTCTGCTGGTCTCTACTGGTTTCTGCTGCTCTCTCCTGCTCTCTGCTGCTCTCTACTGTGCTTCTGTCTCTGTTCTTGTTATTTATGAGTATTTATAAAGAGATGCTACAATAAACGATGACACTATCAAACTGTTGTCATGGTGATGTACCAGGTTTTATTTATCAGATCACAGCAGGTGTAAACAGGAAGTGATGTCACTCGGTCCAGTAATCGTAGTTCCAGCCCAGGAACCAACCGGTGAAGGTCGGCGGTTCAAATCCCTGTTTCAGCGTCACAGTGGGGGTGCGAGGGTCTCGGTCAGCTGGATCGCTGTCCAGGTACTTCACAGCTAAACAGAGAGTTAGCCGTTAGCTGTTAGCATTAAGAACCATCTGACAGCTGCACAGAGAGTTAGCCGTTAGCTGTAAGCATTATGAACCACCTGACAGCTGCACAGAGAGTTAGCTGTTAGCTGTAAGCATTATGAACCACCTGACAGCTGCACAGAGAGTTAGCTGTTAGCATTATGAACCACCTGACAGCTGCACAGAGAGTTAGCTGTAAGCATTATGAACCACCTGACAGCTGCACAGAGAGTTAGCTGTTAGCATTATGAACCACCTGACAGCTGCACAGAGAGTTAGCTGTTAGCATTATGAACCACCTGACAGCTGCACAGAGAGTTAGCTGTTAGCATTATGAACCACCTGACAGCTGCACAGAGAGTTAGCTGTTAGCATTATGAACCACCTGACAGCTGCACATAGAGTTAGCTGTTAGCTGTAAGCATTATGAACCACCTGACAGCTGCACAGAGAGTTAGCTGTTAGCATTATGAACCACCTGACAGCTGCACAGAGTTAGCTGTTAGCTGTTAGCATTATGAACCACCTGACAGCTGCACATAGAGTTAGCTGTTAGCATTATGAACCACCTGACAGCTGCACAGAGAGTTAGCTGTTAGCATTATGAACCACCTGACAGCTGCACAGAGAGTTAGCTGTTAGCATTATGAACCACCTGACAGCTGCACAGAGAGTTAGCTGTTAGCTGTAAGCATTATGAACCACCTGACAGCTGCACAGAGAGTTAGCTGTTAGCATTATGAACCACCTGACAGCTGCACAGAGTTAGCTGTTAGCGGTTAGCATTATGAACCACCTGACAGCTGCACAGAGTTAGCTGTTAGCGGTTAGCATTATGAACCACCTGACAGCTGCACAGAGTTAGCTGTTAGCTGTTAGCATTATGAACCACCTGACAGCTGCACAGAGAGTTAGCTGTTAGCTGTTAGCATTATGAACCACCTGACAGCTGCACAGAGAGTTAGCTGTTAGCGGTTAGCATTATGAACCACCAGAGAGTTAGCTGTTAGCATTATGAACCACCTGATAGCTGCACAGAGAGTTAGCTGTTAGCGGTTAGCATTATGAACCACCTGACAGCTGCACAGAGTTAGCTGTTAGCGGTTAGCATTATGAACCACCTGACAGCTGCACAGAGAGTTAGCTGTTAGCTGTTAGCATTATGAACCACCTGACAGCTGCACAGAGAGTTAGCTGTTAGCGGTTAGCATTATGAACCACCTGACAGCTGCACAGAGAGTTAGCTGTTAGCATTATGAACCACCTGACAGCTGCACAGAGAGTTAGCTGTAAGCATTATGAACCACCTGACAGCTGCACAGAGAGTTAGCTGTTAGCATTATGAACCACCTGACAGCTGCACAGAGAGTTAGTTGTAAGCATTATGAACCACCTGACAGCTGCACAGAGAGTTAGCTGTTAGCATTATGAACCACCTGACAGCTGCACAGAGAGTTAGCTGTTAGCATTATGAACCACCTGACAGCTGCACAGAGAGTTAGCTGTTAGCATTATGAACCACCTGACAGCTGCACAGAGAGTTAGTTGTAAGCATTATGAACCACCTGACAGCTGCACAGAGAGTTAGCTGTTAGCATTATGAACCACCTGACAGCTGCACATAGAGTTAGCTGTTAGCATTATGAACCACCTGACAGCTGCACAGAGAGTTAGCTGTAAGCATTATGAACCACCTGACAGCTGCACAGAGAGTTAGCTGTTAGCATTATGAACCACCTGACAGCTGCACAGAGAGTTAGCTGTTAGCATTATGAACCACCTGACAGCTGCACAGAGAGTTAGCTGTTAGCATTATGAACCACCTGACAGCTGCACAGAGAGTTAGCTGTTAGCGGTTAGCATTATGAACCACCTGACAGCTGCACATAGAGTTAGCTGTTAGCTGTTGAGTATGAAATAAATCAATATATATGTGCATTGAAGCAGAGGCCGTTTCTCAATCTCGAGGATTCTGGCTTCCAAGCCAATATTTCAAGGATGCTACGTCATCGAGTGCCACCGCATCTATCTCCAGCATACTTGGAATGCCACCGAGGCCGCGTCCTTGGTTTGGGGGACATTTCGAGGCTTATTGCTTATTATACATCCATGGGCTGCACATGGGCAGACTCCGCATCCTTAAAATCCCCACAATGCTTTGCGCACGGACCAATTTAAAAAAACTCTTGCGGAGAATGGCTGAACCCAGCGCCATATAGATAGAACCGACGCAGCCGTGTTGGTAAATATGTGACTTTGTTAAATGTGTTTGTTTTCACCAAAAATGTGTTCCGTGAAAGTAAAGCAAGTTCATAATTAGATAGACATCGTGAGGTATTTATTTTCGGTACAGTTTATGTTGAAACCGAGAGAGAGAGTGGCACTCTTGTTAGTCTGTTCCATTCTTCTCTGTTTTCCGAAGCCGTGGCTTGGAAGCATACTTGCTTCGTTTCTGAACGAAGTGACTTGGAAGTACGCGACTGCCAAGCCAGCATCCTCGCGATTGAGAAACACCCAGTGTTAGAATAATTATTGTTTGTAGCCTGTAGCATGTAGCTAATAGTATTTTGTGAATGTGAATATAAGGAGAATGACGCGTGGAGTTACACACTAAACACACCGTCTTTAACTTTACCTGGCTGGAGTGAGATTTTGATATCATGGGTTTAATTACACATATGCGCACTAAATGACTGCTATCGTGTCAGCAGCGGGACCTTAGCATATATATACATGATCTACAAATACACAATATTGGACACAGACTATAAAGTACGGTGGCCCTGAAGTGCAAGACACCACAGCATTTCAGAAAACACCACAGCATTTCACATTGGACGGAAAGGGTATTCCTTTAGGGAGAACACTTCTTGTTTGTGATTGGACAGAGCCAGCCAGAGAATCACTGCTGTGATTGGTTGTTTTTGCTGCCAGTCAATAAATGACGCTTCGTGATTGGTCAACACCCGACAGCGAAATATGCCCCAACACATCAGCCGTTAGCACACACTCAGAGCTCACAGCTCCTCATATCTGTTCAGAAACTAGACAAAAGTTAAACATGTACAAACCACAGACTGTCTGTGTCATGGCGAATACAGTTGCTGCTTTATTTATGTCTGTATGACGTTGTTGTGAGTGTGGACGGAGCAGCAACAGGTTAGTTTAGCCTGATGGATCCGATTCCATTCAGAAAACACGCATTTTAAAAGCTTTTCACCTGCCGTCTTATCTGCAGCGTTAATTCATGGTTTTTACTAACCGGTATCAGTATGTAGTTACTTCGGCATCACTTTGAAACGTGTATTACAATTAAATCACGGTCAAATATGTTCATTTTGTTGTAGTTGGTATCTCCCATAGGATTTACATGGAGATACGCCCCGCCCCCTCTCAGCGCGTCTTGTTTGATTGACAGGAGCAAACACAGCTGACTGCCGTGGTGAAACTCGAGCGATTAGAGCGATGCGAATATTGGGTGGTCTACCATAGTATTTACATGGAGATAAGCCCCTTAAAAACCATGAATTAATAAAGCATTAATTCTGTGTTTACTCCTGTCATGCCGTATCTCCATGTAAATCCTATCGGAATCGGATCGATCAGGTTAAACTAACCTGTAGCTGCTCCGTCCACACTCACAACAACGTCATACAGACATAAATAAAGCAGCGACTGTATTTGCCATGACATAGACAGTCTGTGTTTTGTATATGTTTAACTTGTATATGTCCAGTTTCTGAACAGATATGAGGAGCTGTGAGCTCTGAGTGTGTGCTAACAGCTAACGGCTGATGTGTTGGGCCAATCACGAAGCGTCATTTCTTGACTGGCAGCAAAAACAACCAATCACAGCAGTGCTTCTATGGCTGGCTCTGTCCAATCACAAACAAGAAGTGTTCTCCCTAAGGAATACCCTTTCCGTCCAATGTGAAATGCTGTGGTGTTTTCTAAAATGCTGCGGCGTTTTGTGAAATGCTGTGGTGTTTTGTGAAATGCTGTAGTGTTTTGTGAAATGCTGTGGCGTTTTGTGAAATGCTGTAGTGTTTTGTGAAATGCTGTAGTGTTTTGTGAAATGCTGTGGCGTTTTGTGAAATGCTGTAGTGTTTTGTGAAATGCTGCGGCGTTTTGTGAAATGCTGTAGTGTTTTGTGAAATGCTGTGGCGTTTTGTGAAATGCTGCGGCGTTTTGTGAAATGCTGTGGCGTTTTGTGAAATGCTGCGGCGTTTTGTGAAATGCTGTAGTGTTTTGTGAAATGCTGTGGCGTTTTGTGAAATGCTGTAGTGTTTTGTGAAATGCTGTGGCGTTTTGTGAAATGCTGTAGTGTTTTGTGAAATGCTGTGGCGTTTTGTGAAATGCTGTAGTGTTTTGTGAAATGCTGCGGCGTTTTGTGAAATGCTGTGGCGTTTTGTGAAATGCTGCGGCGTTTTGTGAAATGCTGTAGTGTTTGTGAAATGCTGTGGCGTTTTGTGAAATGCTGTAGTGTTTTGTGAAATGCTGCGGCGTTTTGTGAAATGCTGTAGTGTTTTGTGAAATGCTGTGGCGTTTTGTGAAATGCTGTAGTGTTTTGTGAAATGCTGTAGTGTTTTGTGAAATGCTGCGGCGTTTTGTGAAATGCTGTAGTGTTTTGTGAAATGCTGTGGCGTTTTGTGAAATGCTGCGGCGTTTTGTGAAATGCTGTAGTGTTTTGTGAAATGCTGTGGCGTTTTGTGAAATGCTGCGGCGTTTTGTGAAATGCTGTAGGGTTTTGTGAAATGCTGTGGCGTTTTGTGAAATGCTGCGGCGTTTTGTGAAATGCTGTAGTGTTTTGTGAAATGCTGTGGCGTTTTGTGAAATGCTGCGGCGTTTTGTGAAATGCTGTAGTGTTTTGTGAAATGCTGTGGCGTTTTGTGAAATGCTGTAGTGTTTTGTGAAATGCTGTAGTGTTTTGTGAAATGCTGTAGTGTTTTGTGAAATGCTGTGGCGTTTTTGTGAAATGCTGTAGTGTTTTGTGAAATGCTGTGGCGTTTTGAATGAAATGCTGTAGTGTTTTGTGAATGCTGTGGGTGTTTTTGTGAAATGCTGCGGCGTTTTGTGAAATGCTGTGGCGTTTTGTGAAATGCTAGCGGCGTTTTGTGAAATGCTGTAGTGTTTTGTGAAATGCTGTGGCGTTTTGTGAAATGCTGTAGGTGTTTTGTGAAATGCTGCGGCGTTTTGGTGAAATGCGCGGCGTTTTGTGAAATGCTAGGGTTTTGTGAAATGCGGTGCGTTTTGTGAAATGCTGCGGCGTTTTGTGAAATGCTGTAGTGTTTTGTGAAATGCTGTGGCGTTTTGGTGAAATGCTGCGGCGTTTTGTGAAATGCTGTAGTGTTTTGTGAAATGCTGTGCGTTTTGTGAAATGCTGCCGGCGTTTTGTGAAATGCTGTAGGGTTTTGTGAAATGCTGTAGGCGTTTTGTGAAATGCTGCGGCGTTTTGTGAAATGCTGTAGTTTTGTGAAATGCTGTGGCGTTTTGTGAAATGCTGCGGCGTTTTGTGAAATGCTGTAGTGTTTTGTGAAATGCTGTGGCGTTTTGTGAAATGCTGCGGCGTTTTGTGAAATGCTGTAGTGTTTTGTGAAATGCTGTGGCGTTTTGTGAAATGCTGTGGCGTTTTGTGAAATGCTGCGGCGTTTTGTGAAATGCTGTAGTGTTTTGTGAAATGCTGTGGCGTTTTGTGAAATGCTGTAGTGTTTTGTGAAATGCTGTAGTGTTTTGTGAAATGCTGTAGTGTTTTGTGAAATGCTGTGGCGTTTTGTGAAATGCTGTAGTGTTTTGTGAAATGCTGTGGCGTTTTGTGAAATGCTGTAGTGTTTTGTGAAATGCTGCGGCGTTTTGTGAAATGCTGTAGTGTTTTGTGAAATGCTGTAGTGTTTTGTGAAATGCTGTGGCGTTTTGTGAAATGCTGTAGTGTTTAGTGAAATGCTGTGGCGTTTTGTGAAATGCTGTAGTGTTTTGTGAAATGCTGTAGTGTTTTGTGAAATGCTGTAGTGTTTTGTGAAATGCTGTGGCGTTTTGTGAAATGCTGCGGCGTTTTGTGAAATGCTGTAGTGTTTTGTGAAATGCTGTAGTGTTTTGTGAAATGCTGCGGCGTTTTGTGAAATGCTGCGGCGTTTTGTGAAATGCTGTAGTGTTTTGTGAAATGCTGTGGCGTTTTGTGAAATGCTGTAGTGTTTTGTGAAATGCTGCGGCGTTTTGTGAAATGCTGTAGTGTTTTGTGAAATGCTGTGGCGTTTTGTGAAATGCTGTAGTGTTTTGTGAAATGCTGTGGCGTTTTGTGAAATGCTGTGGCGTTTTGTGAAATGCTGTAGTGTTTTGTGAAATGCTGTAGTGTTTTGTGAAATGCTGTGGCGTTTTGTGAAATGCTGTAGTGTTTTGTGAAATGCTGTGGCGTTTTCTAAAATGTTGCGGCGTTTTGTGAAATGCTGCGGCGTTTTGTGAAATGCTGCGGCGTTTTGTGAAATGCTGCGGCGTTTTGTGAAATGCTGCGGCGTTTTGTGAAATGCTGTAGTGTTTGTGAAATGCTGTGGCGTTTTGTGAAATGCTGTGGCGTTTTGTGAAATGCTGTAGTGTTTTGTGAAATGCTGTAGTGTTTTGTGAAATGCTGTGGCGTTTTGTGAAATGCTGCGGCGTTTTGTGAAATGCTGTAGTGTTTTGTGAAATGCTGCGGCGTTTTGTGAAATGCTGTAGTGTTTTCTGAAATGCTGCGGCGTTTTGTGAAATGCTGTAGTGTTTTCTGAAATGCTGTAGCGTTTTGTGAAATGCTGTTGTGTCTTGCACTTCAGGGCCACCGTAATAAAGGGCACAACGTTTCATTCACTATTGAAAGTCAAACACATGTTTGTTTCCACTGTTTTATTGTGTGCCTGTCGCGATAAGCAATTCATTGACTTATCGTACGATAAATAAAAATGAACTCGATAACTTTCCATTGACATGAGGATGTGACTAGCAGTTTGAAAGGATGTACTTGAATTATTATTATATATTATCATTATGTCAGTGCTCTAAAATGATCTAACGGTGCCGACAATATTATCGTTTATCTCAATAATTTCCGGGAAAATGTATCCAACAAAATTAATTATACACACACACACACACACACACACACACACACACACACACACACACACACACACACACACACACACACACACACACACACACACACACACACACACACACACACACACACACACACTATTTTGGCCAAGTAGAACAATAAGCAGCAGACTTTAATTTGTTATCATTTCTGCTGGATCTCAGATCTGCGCAATAGGGGTCGGATTGACCAACCGGCTCCCACCGCTCTGCTCTCTGTTAACGTTGTTAAGAGTGGTGGGGGCGGGGAGGGAGCGGGTCGACAGCTTGAGCAGCTGTCAACTCAACATTGTAAATAACGCCAGATGCGTGAGAGTTGAAGAATAGTATGAGAAATATCGTGAAAGACGAGCCGAGGCTACGTCATCAGAGGACTACAGAGGAAGTCCCGCCCCCTTTGACGCCAGCCAATCGATGATGACTAAATACGAGAATGAACGTATATAACCAGATGTTTAATAGAGAAACGGCCCTTTTTTCATCGTACAGATTTGAGACACAGCTAGCTGCGCTAAGTGGACTGTGTAACAATGAAGTAGAAAAAGACCTCGGCTGAGTACTTCTGCAAACTTATTGTATCACTTTATTAATAACTGCTGTTTACCTGACGAGAAGCTTCCTGGATTATTTTCAGCTACTCTAACTCAAAGTATTCACACGCAACAATAGGGAGTTAGCTCTTAGCTGTTAGCATCATTCAGTCGTTAACTTCCAGTCTCACCTGAATCCGCCGCCTCAATCTTCTCCTCCTCACGAGCCTCGTTACCGATCCACACGAACACCTGAAGAGGAGACAGGTGAGGAGACAGTAGGTGAGGAGACAGGAGGTGAGGAACCAGTAGGTGAGGAGACAGGAGGTGAGGAACCAGTAGGTGAGGAGACAGGAGGTGAGGAGACAGTAGGGGAGGAGACAGTAGGTGAGGAGACAGTAGGTGAGGAGACAGGAGGTGAGGAACCAGGAGGTGAGGAACCAGTAGGTGAGGAGACAGGAGGTGAGGAACCAGTAGGTGAGGAGACAGGAGGTGAGGAGACAGTAGGGGAGGAGACAGTAGGTGAGGAGACAGTAGGTGAGGAGACAGGAGGTGAGGAACCAGGAGGTGAGGAACCAGTAGGTGAGGAGACATGAGGTGAGGAGACAGGAGGTGAGGAACCAGTGGGTGAGGATGCAGGAGGTGAGGAACCAGTAGGTGAGGAGACAGGAGGTGAGGAGACAGTAGGGGAGGAGACAGTAGGTGAGGAGACAGTAGGTGAGGAGACAGGAGGTGAGGAACCAGTAGGTGAGAAGACAGGAGGTGAGGAGACAGGAGGTAAGGAACCAGTAGGTGAGGAGACAGGAGGTGAGGAACCAGTAGGTGAGGAGACAGGAGGTGAGGAACCAGTAGGTGAGGAGACAGGAGGTGAGGAGACAGGAGGTGAGGAACCAGGAGATGAGGAGACAGGAGGTGAGGAACCAGTAGGTGAGGAGACAGGAGGTAAGGAAACAGGTGAGGATACAGGAGGTGAAGAGACAGTAGGTGAGGAGACAGGAGGTGAGGAGACAGGAGGTGAGGAGACAGGTGAGAATACAGGAGGTGAGGAGACAGGTGCGGATACAGGAGGCGAGGAACCAGTAGGTGAGGAGACAGTAGGTGAGGAGACAGGAGGTGAGGAACCAGTAGGTGAGGAGACAGTAGGTGAGGAACCAGGAGGTGAGGAGACAGGTGAGGAGCCAGGAGGTGAGGAAACAGGTGAGGATACAGGAGGTGAGGAGACAGTAGGTGAGGAGACAGGAGTTGAGAATACAGGAGGTGAGGAGACAGGTGCGGATACAGGAGGTGAGGAACCAGTAGGTGAGGAAACAGGAGGTGAGGAGACAGGAGGTAAGGAGACAGGAGGTGAGGAGACAGGAGGTGAGGAACCAGGAGGTGAGGAACCAGTAGGTGAGGAGACAGGAGGTGAGGAGACATGAGGTGAGGAACCAGTGGGTGAGGATGCAGGAGGTGAGGAACCAGTAGGGGAGGAGACAGTAGGTGAGGAGACAGGAGGTGAGGAACCAGTAGGTGAGAAGACAGGAGGTGAGGAGACAGGAGGTGAGGAACCAGTAGGTGAGGAGACAGGAGGTGAGGAACCAGTAGGTGAGGAGACAGGAGGTGAGGAACCAGTAGGTGAGGAGACAGGAGGTGAGGAGACAGGAGGTAAGGAGACAGGAGGTGAGGAGACAGGAGGTGAGGAACCAGGAGGTGAGGAACCAGTAGGTGAGGAGACATGAGGTGAGGAGACAGGAGGTGAGGAACCAGTGGGTGAGGATGCAGGAGGTGAGGAACCAGTAGGTGAGGAGACAGGAGGTGAGGAGACAGTAGGGGAGGAGACAGTAGGTGAGGAGACAGGAGGTGAGGAACCAGTAGGTGAGAAGACAGGAGGTGAGGAACCAGTAGGTGAGAAGACAGGAGGTGAGGAGACAGGAGGTGAGGAACCAGTAGGTGAGGAGACAGGAGGTGAGGAACCAGTAGGTGAGGAGACAGGAGGTGAGGAACCAGTAGGTGAGGAGACAGGAGGTGAGGAGACAGGAGGTGAGGAACCAGGAGATGAGGAGACAGGAGGTGAGGAACCAGTATGAGGAGACAGGAGGTAAGGAAACAGGTGAGGATACAGGAGGTGAAGAGACAGTAGGAGGTGAGGAACCAGTAGGTGAGGAGACAGGAGGTGAGGAAACAGGTGAGGAGCCAGGAGGTGAGGAAACAGGTGAGGATACAGGAGGTGAGGAGACAGTAGGTGAGGAGACAGGAGTTGAGAATACAGGAGGTGAGGAGACAGGTGCGGATACAGGAGGTGAGGAACCAGTAGGTGAGGAAACAGGAGGTGAGGAGACAGGAGGTAAGGAGACAGGAGGTGAGGAGACAGGAGGTGAGGAAATGGAGGTGGGACATGTAACCATGGTGACTCACCTGGTCCCAGGTATCCAAGATCATGACATCATCAGGAGCGAGGTCATCCTGCGTCAGCTCACCTGGAACCTCCTCCATCTACACACACACACACACACACACACACACACACACACACACACACACACACACACACACACACACACACACACACACACACACCCACCGTATGTGGTAAGTTGCCAAAGTGCTTTGTTCTGAACGTTCATCAGTATTATAATCAAAGAGAGAAATATGAACGTTAGTTTTTACTGAAATGATCAAATAAAGTCAACATCTCACAGTCTTTACTGAGCTGTGGGGTTTGTTCAACTTTTAAAAGATGTTTGAATGGTGATATACACAGAGATAGATGTTAAGGACTAACGTTTATAATAAATACATCTGTATTGATTTAAGATCTTTCCATCAATCATACGTATTGGGATCATTTGTATTAATGTGGACCGGAGGGAGAGGGTGACGAGCAGAAGCTTCACTTTCCTTTTTTATTTCAGTTCCAGCTTTGGTCCTGAAGAATCTGTTTCTCTGTTGTCCACGTTCATAAAGCATAAAGCAACAGCATCAGAGCACAGAGTCTCTAGATGAGTTTACAGTAGTGTTAATTCTGTCAGCTATTTTTTTATTTAGTTTTAGTCTTAGTCCTGTGTTAAACTTTTTAGTTTTAGTCATATTTAGTCACCTTCATCCTCTTTTTATTTCGTCAAGTTTTAGTCTTATTTTAGTCAAAGAAAACTGTTGAGTCTTTTTTAGTCATCAGATTATAACATTTCAGTCAAACTAGTCAAAACCAATAATTTGTCATTTTAGTATATATAAATAAATAACATTATATCTTGTCCTTATTTGATGAAACTCAGGTTGAATGATTAAGCAGCTTTGTAGAGAGGATCTGGTTTGTGGTGTTTGTACCAGCTGTGTTTTGGCCACATTGCTTCCCTTCTGATGAAACAATGCATTCGCTTTTTTTCTCCGCCTCATTGTAGCGAAAATGGGCCGAAATATCACATTGTTTCTTTCTCCCAAGCAGTGGTGGCTTTAGACTTTTTCGTTGTCAGTCATTTTGACGGACAGGATCGTAACATTTCCGTCATAATCCATTATTACCCGTCGAGTCTGTACACAAGTCGTCACTCACTCGCACTAACGGGGGGGATGGGGTATTCGGTTAATGCGACCACTGCTCCCAAGCCCTGTTGGTGCCATTTTATTTTCTGTTGAATAAGGTTAGTTAGACCGTGAGTTAGACCCGAGTCTTCCTGACAGTTCACAGTGTGCCGCTGCCCAGCCGCAGCACAGACACGCAGCTGCTGCCCAGCCGCAGCACAGACACGCAGCTGCTGCCCCAGCCGCAGCACAGACACGCAGCCGCTGCCCAGCCGCAGCACAGACACACAGCCGCTGCCCAGCCGCAGCACGGACACACAGCCGCTGCCCAGCCGCAGCACGGACACACAGCCGCTGCCCAGCCGCAGCACAGACACGCAGCCGCTGCCCAGCCGCAGCACAGACACACAGCCGCTGCCCAGCCGCAGCACAGACACACAGCTGCTGCCCAGCCGCAGCACCGGAAATGGAACTGCTGGGAGAAAAACTGACTATCAGAGATATAACGTTATCTTTGATAATATTTCGTCTCCTCATTTTTCGTCAACGAAACCTCTTTTGAGTGTATCGCCTTTTCTCTGGCTGGTTCATCACAGCTACAGGTTGTCCTCATATACCGCCCCCCCAAAGCCTCCGCCATCTTCATGTTTGAGTTCGCTGAGCTGCTCACCTGTGTCTGCTCCAGGTCTCCATCCACATTACTGCTTGGTGACTTTAACATCCATGTCGACTCTAGTACATGCACCTTTGCCTCTGAATTTCTCACACTACTCGACTGCTTCAACATCACACAGCACGTCCAAGGTCCCACCCACACCAAAGGTCACACGCTGGACCTAGTGTGCTCTATAGGCACCCCTCCCTCCCATCTCCAGTGCCTGGACCTAGCTGTTGCGGACCATCTTGCCATACTCTTTACTGTTCCTGTCCCCCTGCCCACTCAGCGTGCAAAACGCACCATCACATTCAGAAACACAAAATCACTGAGTGCACCAGCCCTGACCAGCACGATAGCAGCCCACCTAGCCTCCATTCCCCTTACCACCACTGTGGATGGCCTGGTTGCTCGCTACAACTCAGCTCTATCCCTCAGCCTTGACTTTCTAGCCCCCCTCAAAACCCGGACTGTCTCCTTCACCCGTTCGGCCCCTTGGTTCACCACTGAACTCCGCGCCCTGAAGGCTTCTGGTCGTCGGCTAGAGAGACTCAAAACAAGAACTGACCTCGCCGTCCACCGCGAAGCATACCAGGACCATGTAAAGGTCTACAAAGAAGCCCTCTCCCTGACTAGGTCTTCCTACTACTCCACCCTCATTGGCATCCGACAATCCCAACCGATAATGCTGTTCTCAACCATAAACCGGCTTCTCCGCCCCCTTGATCCCCCCCATCCCCCAGGTGCTCTTGATCTCTGCTCGAAGTTTCTGGATTTCTTCCAGGCAAAAGTTGATTCCATCCACCAGCAGCTTCTGGTGCCTGGCCCCCCACCTACTTTAACCGCACCCCAGCCACAAGGTATTACTCGTCCACCTAGGTGTTGCCTCTCCACCTTCTCCCCAGTGGATGTCATCCAAATTACCAAGCTGGTTACTAAGGCCAAGACATCGACCTGCTCTCTTGACCCCATGCCCACAGCCTTGGTCAAGGCAGCTCTATCCACCATCTGCCCCATCATTGTTGACATTGTGAACTTGTCCCTGTCTTCTGGCACAGTCCCACCCTGCCTCAAAACTGCCTCAGTCTCTCCAATCCTGAAGAAGCCTGGCTTGGACCCGGAGGACCTCAACAACCACCGGCCGATCTCAAACCTCGCATTCGTGAGCAAGATCCTGGAAAGAGCAGTTGCCGCACAACTGCAACACCACATGTCACTGCATGAGCTCTACGAACCCCTCCAGTCTGGCTTCAGACCATATCACAGTACTGAGACTGCCCTCATCAAAATCACAAACGACCTCCTCATCGCATCTGATTCTGGCCTCATCAGCATTCTCATCCTCCTGGACCTCTCAGCAGCCTTCGATACCATATCCAATTCCATCCTCCTCAGCCGCCTGTCTGACTACCTTGGCCTCAGTGACACAGCTCTTGCCTGGTTCGAGTCCTACCTGTCTAACAGGAAAAACGTTGTCACCAGCAGTGACTGCAGCTCCCCTTCCACCCCAGTCAACCAAGGTGTACCTCAAGGCTCTGTGCTTGGACCCCTCCTATTCAATATCTACATGCTCCCACTTGGTCAAATCATCCGTCAACATGGTCTCAGCTTTCACTCTTATGCTGATGACACACAGCACTATCTCTCCACCAAACCGTCCACTCAGCTCCCCCTCAATCCCTTGTCAACTGCCTACAGGACATAAAAAACTGGATGTCATCAAACCTGCTCAAAATCAACAGCAATAAAACAGAGCTCATGATTGTGGCTCCCAAGACGCAGCTCCAGAAGGTTGGAGACCTGCTTCTCTCCATTGACGGCTGCTCTATCTCCCCGTCCACTGAAGTCCGCAACCTGGGAGTCATCCTGGACACCACCCTCTCTTTCCAGGCGCATGTCAAAGCTGTCACCAAATCCGCCTTCTACCACCTAAAAAACATTGCCAGAATCCGGCCTTCTCTCTCTGACTCTGTGGCAGAAACCCTGGTACACGCCTTCATCACATCCCGTCTGGACTACTGCAATGGAGTCCTGTCCGGGGTTCCCAGCAAAACCCTGGATAGGCTCCAATACGTCCAGAACTCTGCCGCCAGGCTTCTCACCCACACCAAGCCATGGCACCATATCACCCCCACCCTCATCCACCTACATTGGCTGCCGGTCAAGTCCCGGATTCAATACAAAACACTCATCCTCACGTACAAGTCCCTCCATATCCTCTCCCCCCAGTACTTATCGGACCTCCTCCATCCCTACACCCCTTCTCGGAGTCTGCGGTCCTCAGACACGGGCCTGCTCTCTATCCCCCGCTCTCGCCTCCGAACTTTTGGTGACAAGGCATTCAGTGTTACGGCCCCCACCCTCTGGAATGCACTTCCTGCCGAGATCCGTAATGCTGCCTCCCTGGACATCTTCAAATTATCACTAAAAACACACCTGTTCACCCTGGCCTTCGGGCCCTAGCCCTTTTCTGGTCCCCTGGCTTCCTTTATTTATTTATTTGGTTTGCCCGTTGATTGTCTGTTTGTTTTGTTTGTCCACCATGTACAGCGACCTTGGGTCCCTTGAAAGGCGCTATATAAATATCATTTATTATTATTATTATTATTATTATTAAAGACAGATTTTGGCATAGATTTTATTTAGTAAACTACATTTTCGTCTCGTCACTTTTCGTCAACGATATTGCATGATGATTTCGTTACAGTTATTGTTTACTGCCGTCGGTGCCGTCTCGTTTTCGTCATGGAAAAAAAGGTCGTTGACGAACATATTTCGTCATAGTTTTAGTCAACAAAATGAACACTAGTTTACAGTAGTCCCTCGTTCTTATTAAACATCCATGTTGTAGTTCGCTGTATAGAAAACTGTAGTTTCCCCACAGCAGCAGACGCACAAAATGACGTCCGCTGGCGCATCATAAACACGTCGGATAGTGAAAGTGCAGTCGATTCTCTAAAGTACCGCAGTCTCTTCTCCTAAGTCCTTTTGAATTCTCCTATCCACTATCCCTTAACCCCGTGACCTTTCACTCAGAGGTCAAGGAATAGGAGATAGGGTTAGAAATTAGGAGCTGATTTTTGACAGAGAGACATACAGAGAGACAGACAGACAGACAGAGAGACAGACTGACAGACAGACAGAGAGACAGACAGACGGACAGAGAGACAGACAGAGAGACAGACAGACAGACAGGCAGACAGACAGGCAGAGAGACAGACAGAGAGACAGACAGAGAGACAGACAGACGGACAGAGACACAGACAGACAGACAGACAGACAGACAGAGAGACAGACAGACAGACAGACAGACAGACAGAGAGACAGACAGACAGACGGACAGAGAGACAGACAGAGAGACAGACAGACGGACAGACAGACAGAGAGACAGACAGACAGACAGACTGACAGGGAGACAGACAGACAGACAGAGAGACAGACAGAGAGACAGACAGACGGACAGAGAGACAGACAGACGGACAGAGAGACAGACAGAGAGACAGACAGACAGACAGACAGACAGGTACCTGGTAGTTTCCGGTCTTGTTGGAGCAGGCGAACAGACGGGGGGGGTGAGCCTCCATATTGTTCTTCAGGCGGGGGGTGCAACAGTATTCCTCCTGACCCCCCAACGCTTCCCAGAATGCATCTGTAACACAGACCCTGTTCAGAGGACTTCTTCATGGAGCAAACAGAAACCCCCATCCTGGTAGACCCCACACACAACAGCACAACAACACAACACAGACTATAACACCACTTGTTGTTAAATACCAACTATGTGCAATATCTCACCTGTCTCCCCCCCCTCCCTCAGAGGGTCAGGGGTAACCTGCATGATCACAGCCAGTTGCTCCGCCCCCTTTTCCTCAGTGAAGGTGCTTCTTCCCCCCCCCCACACCCAGCATCCAGAGGGGGAGACCAGCAGGAAGACATCACTGGAGTTCAGCTGGGAGGAGGAGGACTGCACCTGGGGGGAGACACCTGTGAGTGGGGGTAATTGGGGGTTTCTCTCATTAACTGGGGGGTTTCTCTCATTAACTGGGGGGTTTCTCTCATTAACTGGGGGTTTCTCTCATTAACTGGGGGGTTTCTCTCATTAACTGGGGGGTTTCTCTCATTCACTGGGGGTTTCTCTCATTAACTGGTGTTGTGAGTTTTCATAGTATGTTTAATACTTAAAACGAAAGTTAGTTATAATCAAATATAATCAATTATATTCTTGTATAACCCACAATGAAAATGCTTCATATTTTAGGTTTTTCTATAGTTACAGTATAAACAAAACAAAGTGGTTTGTTTAGGTTGAGTGTGTAAGGTCTATGATTTATGGGTGTCTCTGATAAGAGAGTAGGCCGTTTTCTCCCTCTCCTCTGGCAGCAGTTCACAGGGAGGGGGGCTCCAGGCTTAAGGAGAAACACAGAGGCCTCAAAAAAGGGTCAAGTCCTTTTTACACTAACATAGGAAGGTGTGTCTTATGCCATAAGATATGGAACATGTCGGGTCATGTCCAGCCTTGTACATTAGAGGCCATGCCCAGTTTTCCACAAATTGGGTGTAGAGGAGGAGTTTGTTTTTTTGGGGTTTCGTTCCGGTTTTTTGAGCATAAAGAGACTGGTTTTTTGAGAGAGCGCGAGAGAGAGGGGGGGAAACCCCTGGTAGACTCTCTCCCGGTAGGCTTTGTGCTTCAGAGCTGGATTAATAGCTCTCGGTAATGTTCTCTCAAACTTGGTAAATATCTCTTGAATTTGTTGGTTGAAAGGCTGAGTGAATTTGGTTGAAATGCTGAGTGAATTTCTTTGAATGCTGAGTGAATTTCTTGGTTGGAATGCTGAGTGGAATGATTTGATGGGAGACGTGGTTGTGAGATGTGGTTGTGATTAGGAACCGCCACCGTGAGGATCTTCCTCCGAAATACCTGCGGGAGATAGGTATGTGTTTGTGGATGTTAGTACCCGCCATGTGTGTCGGATAGGAGTGTGGTTGCGATTAGTAACCGCCACCGTGAGGATCTTCCTCCGAAATACCTGCGGGAGATAGGTGTGTGTTTTTGAATGTTAGTACCCGCCATCTGTGTCGGAAAAAGTGTATGAAACTGATGTGAATTGATTTGGTGAATGAAAAGTTGAATGCGCTTTTTATGGTCACCGGTCTTTTTACGAGGAAATACCTCTAAATTCTATCGGGAGATTTTAAAATGTCACAACTGAATTGGGCAGTTGAAATTAAAACATTTTGGTAATAAATGTAAGACTGTGAATTAAAGTTTCATATTTGAACATGATCACAGCACCATTTTTTTAGTATGATTATAATGTTGTAAAGAGAGAAGGTAAAAACCCTGTATTAGTTTGGACCTATTTCTCTTCAAATAAACTGATCCCACCTTTTGGACTGGGACAACTTCAAAGACACCTGTGCTCTCCTCTCCTGCTTAAAAGGTAAGATTGCACCCTGCCACTCACACTTAGGTAGGAGCACACTCCATTTACTGATATCAAAATCCTTCGGGATCCCTTAAACAGATTAAAAAAGAGTTGTCTGAATTGAAACAGCAGTTAATTGAACCTGGTTCTTCGGGGGGTTAGGAAGAGGTGAGATCTTGCTGACGTTGGTGGATCTGAGCCAAGCAGCAAACTTACATAGACTCAATAACTTCGGTCAGGTCAATTAGTAGGTCAGAGTAATTTACCGGAATAAATTATCAGGACCTCTCCGACTCTAAACACTGGGGGGTTTCTCTCATTAACTGGGGGTTTCTCTCACTAACCGGGGGGTTTTATCATTAACTGGGGGTTTCTCTCATTAACTGGGGGGTTCTCATTAACTGGGGGTTTCTCACATTAACTGGGGGGTTTCTCTCATTAACTGGGGTTTCTCTCATTAACTGGTGGTTTCTCTCATTAACTGGGGTTTCTCTCATTAACTGGTGGTTTCTCTCATTAACTGGGGGTTTCTCTCATTAACTGGGGGTTTCTCATTAACTGGGGATTTCTCTCATTAACTGGGGATTTCTCTCATTAACTGGGGGGTTCTCATTAACTGGGGGGGTTCTCATTAACTGGGGATTTCTCATTAACTGGGGTTCTCATTAACTGGGGGGGTTCTCATTAACTGGGGGGATTTCTCATTAACTGGGGTTCTCATTAACTGGGGGGGTTCTCATTAACTGGGGGGGTTCTCATTAACTGGGGATTTCTCATTAACTGGGGTTCTCATTAACTGGGGGGGGTTCTCATTAACTGGGGGGGTTCTCATTAACTGGGGATTTCTCATTAACTGGGGGGGTTTCTCATTAACTGGGGGGTTTTTCTCATTAACTGGGGGTTTCTCCATTAACTGGGGGGTTCTCATTAACTGGGGGGGGTTCTCATTAACTGGGGATTTCTCATTAACTGGGGGTTTCTCCATTAACTGGGGGGTTTCTCATTAACTTGGGTTTCTCATTAACTTGGGTTTCTCATTAACTGGGGGGTTCTCATTACCTGGGGTGTTCTCTCATTATCTGGGGGTTTCTCATTAACTGGTGGTTTCTCATTAACTGGGGGTTTCTCTCCTTAACTGGGGGGTCTCTCTCATTAACTGGTGGTTTTCTCATTAACTGGGGGGTTCTCTCATTAACTGGGGGGTCTCTCTCATTAACTGGGGGTCTCTCTCATTAACTGGGGGTTTCTCTCATTAACTGGGGGGTCTCTCATTAACTGGGGGGGTCTCTCATTAACTGGGGGTTTCTCTCATTAACTGGGGGGTTTCTCTCATTAACTGGGGTTTCTCTCATTAACTGGTGGTTTGTCATTAACTGGGGGTTTCTCATTAACTGGGGGTTTCTCTCATTAACTGGGGGTTTCTCTCATTAACTGGGGGTTTCTCTCATTAACTGGGGGTTTCTCTCATTAACTGGGGTTTCTCACATTAACTGGGGGTTTCTCACATTAACTGGGGGTTTCTCACATTAACTGGGGGTTTCTCACATTGACTGGGGGGTTCTCATTAACTGGGGGGTTCTCATTAACTGGGGGGTTCTCATTAACTGGGGGGTTCTCATTAACTGGGGGGGTTCTCATTAACTGGGGGGGTTCTCATTAACTGGTAGTTTGTTCTCATTAACTGGGGGTTTCTCCATTAACTGGGGGGTTCTTGTTAACTGGGGGTTCTCATTAACTGGGGGGGTTCTCTCATTAACTGGGGGTTTCTCTCATTAACTGGGGGGTCTCTCTCATTAACTGGGGGGTCTCTCTCATTAACTGGGGGTCTCTCTCATTAACTGGGGGTTTCTCTCACTAACTGGGGGTTTCTCTCATTAACTGGGATTTCTCACATTAACTGGGGGTTTCTCACATTAACTGGGGGTTTTCTCACATTAACTGGGGGGTTCTCATTAACTGGTAGTTTGTTCTCATTAACTGGTAGTTTGTTCTCATTAACTGGGGGTTTCTCGTTAACTGGGGGGGTCTCTCATTAACTGGGGGTTTCTCTCATTAACTGGGGGTTTCTCTCATTAACTGGGGGGTCTCTCTCATTAACTGGGGGTCCTCTCTTCATTAACTGGGGGTCTCTCTCATTAACTGGTGGTTTCTCATTAACTGGGGGTTTCTCTCATTAACTGGGGGGTCTCTCACATGAACTGGGGGGTTTCTCTCACTAACTGGGGGGTTTCTCACATGAACTGGGGGGTTTCTCTCACTAACTGGGGGGTTTCTCTCACTAACTGGGGTTTCTCTCATTAACTGGGGGGTTTCTCTCACTAACTGGGGGGTTCTCATTAACTGGGGGTTTCTCATTAACGGGGGGTTTCTCACATTAACTGGGGGGTTTCTCTCATTAACTGGGGGTTTCTCTCATTAACTGGGGTTTCTCTCATTAACTGGGGTTTCTCTCATTAACTGGGGGTTTCTCATTAACTGGGGGTTTCTCTCATTAACTGGGGTTTCTCTCATTAACTGGGGGTTTCTCTCATTAACTGGGGGGTTTCTCATTAACTGGGGGGGGTTCTCATTAACTGGGGGGGGGGGGGTTCTCTTTAACTGGGGGTTTCTCTCATTAACTGGGATTTCTCACATTAACTGGGGATTTCTCATTAACTGGGGGGTTTCTCGTTAACTGGGGGGGTCTCTCATTAACTGGGGGTTTCTCTCATTAACTGGGGGTTTCTCTCATTAACTGGGGGGTCTCTCTCATTAACTGGGGGTCTCTCTCATTAACTGGGGGTCTCTCTCATTAACTGGTGGTTTCTCATTAACTGGGGGTTTCTCTCATTAACTGGGGGGGTCTCTCACATGAACTGGGGGGTTTCTCTCACTAACTGGGGGGTTTCTCACATGAACTGGGGGGTTTTCTCTCACTAACTGGGGCGTTTCTCTCACTAACTGGGGTTTCTCTCATTAACTGGGGGTTTCTCTCACTAACTGGGGGGTTCTCATTAACTGGGGGGTTCTCATTAACGGGGTTTCTCACATTAACTGGGGGGTTTCTCTCACTAACTGGGATTTCTCTCACTAACTGGGGGGTTTCTCTCACTAACTGGTGGTTTCTCTCATTAACTGGGATTTCTCATTAACTGGGGGTTTCTCTCATTAACTGGGGGTTTCTCTAATTAACTGGGGGGTTTCTCATTAACTGGGGGGGGGGGGGTTCTCTTTAACTGGGGGTTTCTCTCATTAACTGGGATTTCTCACATTAACTGGGGATTTCTCATTAACTGGGGTTTCTCGTTAACTGGGGGGT